AATGAAAATGAAATCAAGAGTGAAGATAGAGAAATAGAAGACCCTTCACTGAATGCTAATGTTGGAGTTGTTACCGGAGAGGTAAGTTCGTCTTCTTCTGTCGAGGAGGGCGAAATCGAGGACGAGGAAGAAATTGTAAATCATGGTGGAGATGTTCTCAAAAAAGGTGACGGAATATCAACACAATCGCGCAACAAAACTATAAACTTAAATCCTGAAGCTGGGAGAAACAAACTCGCCAGAGAGAGCAGTCCAGGGTGGGCATGGGATGATGAAGAAATTGGAGATTGATCCATCTTAACAAATATACATCAGAAACTGTGTATATACTCACGATGGTTTATTTATTTTATATCACTTGTGGTGTAAAAGATCCTGCTTTTTTTTTTGTATACTATATATTTTTGAACAAAACTCATCTTACTTTTTCCCTTGATATTTATTTTATATCAATAGAATTCTTTGGTGACCCTAGCACATGTTTGCTTTTATGTATCGGAAAATATACAATATCCGAATTCACAAACTAAAGCGTTTGTAAACAAATAAAATAAACAAGCAACCACAAGAGAATAAAACCAAAACAAAAAAAAAAAGCAAAAAAAAAGCAAAAAAAAAGCAAAAAAAAAGAAAGAAAAAAAAGAAAAGCACCAATTTATTAAGCAAGAAATTTTGTAGAAAATTAAAGACAATTTGTAAAAAAGCAACATTCTATTGTCCGGAGGACACTATGCACAAACAAATAAATGCAAGGTCATTATTCATTATGCGTGACGTCATTATTTGTTTATTATGTCGATCACTTAAATTATAGTAGACTTTATCTGTTATCAATATCGACGAATTCGGGAAACCAAACGATGTCTTGGATCTTTCCAGTAAGCAACTACGCAAGATTTGTTTTTTTTTAAAAAAAGAAAATGTGCCGACAATAATGATTACAAAGGCAATTAAAGAAACATTAAATTATCAAATTTATTAAATGTGCATTAAATTATCTGCAACTGTAGATATAGATTTTTTTTGTCCTTATAGGCGTTATTGTCTGCAATTCATTATTCGCCCCAGGCCTTAAATTTGGTTTTAATTCAATAATTATGAAAGGTAAAGGAATTTTTATCACATGATTGTTATCATTCTATCTTATGCATGCATTGCGTGAATATGTTCAAATATCGATATATATATAATTTTAATAATAATTCTTTTAGATATCCAAATTGTTTATACATACGAAAGTAATCAAATAAATTGGGTGGTTTGCAGCAAATGACCTTTTTGACACTTCAAACCGGTTCTGAATGCATCAATTGCATAAATTCCTCGTGAATCTTGTATCAGTTATTTAGCCCGTTGTCAGTATTGGAAGTTCTCGTGACGGAATACGATTTGCCGTTAATGGTCACGAGATTAATATATTATGAATTGAAGACAATACCAATTAATTTGATTCAATATGGAGTTGTCCGGGGCGAATAATATAAATGTGTTACGTAGTAGTTGGGGTTAGTTGGGGTACAAACCTGTCAGCCCAAGATTGTCATGATAAAGTTTAGCTAGTGTAACATATTTTATCCGTGATGATTAAAATCACGTAACTTACATGAAACTTATAAAAAAAAAAAAAACTGTTCTCGTCGGTATTTTCTTACGTATGTACGTAAAAAAATATGACAGAACACATACAATTTGCTACCCTTTCTTGGTAAATTTAGTTTTACTTATCGCTTTAAGTTTATTTATAATATTCTTTTCTCTACAGAACCTTTGCTCCCAATGATCTGCAAAGACAGTATACTGAATACATTGTTCAAACTGCCAACTTTATAAATAGTTCTTCCTTTATATCTAATTCTATTTCTCAATTCGATATTTGTTCCCAAAACTTATCTTCCTTAAGAATGAATCTTGATTATCCCTTAACGTCTACAAATTCCTATGATTTAGGAGTTGTAACGTCATATGGTACTGCGAATACTTCAGTATATTCTTCCGCATTTAATCCAAATTTGTGTATAAATGCATTTTCTAAGACTATGACAGATTCTAATTTGTCATCCGGGACTAGTTGGCAGTCTCAACTCTACTCGTCGTCCCCGTCAAAATACTCTTCACAAACCTGTTCTGCGTCTCCTACTGATAAAACCACCATGGAAACTTTTACTGACTTTACTTCATTTCAGAATCCCGAAAGCAATGTACGAAAAAATAATTACCAACATCCGTATGTATAGAACTAATTATGAGAGTTTATCAATTTGGGATGATTTGCTCTAATTTTTCATGCTATTTTTACCAGTGGTGTTGTTGCGTTCAAAACAAAAAACTTTTTGACAGTTAATCCCGGGAATGTGGAAGAGTTTGAGAATAGGATTAAAGGGAAACAACTAACATCGGGATTTGGAATTTCAAATGTTACCGATTCTATTATGCATATTTCGACAAATAATAACCATTTAATAGGTAAAGAATTATCTGACTATTACTGTATTATTAACTTATTATTATCTTACAACTGACTCGTTAATCGCTATTTTCCAATAGGGACTTCACATAGTTCGCATACAATCCCCAACGAAAAATATAGTGCATCTGATACCTCAAAATCGGATGCGGCTTCTAATATTTTGAACTGTACGGACGATTCAGATATTTATTTGTCAAAACTTGAAACAAAAAATCATCAACCATCCAATTGGTAATTATATTTTTATTTACGCTTAAATATTTTTAAATAAATATGTTTAAAAAAATATTCTATTTTTTATAGTTATAACTTATGTGAACGTCCAAATTATTTACAAGATCATTTAACTCCGAGTGATCTTGATTACTCTATTCCATTTATCCTTCCACCTGGTGTGGTAGGACCGTCAGTGTTGCTATTTGAGGAAAATCCTATTTTAAAGTCATCTTTATCATCAAATGATCCAATGGTGAAATATTTATCGAATGCATTAATTAAAATAATTGATCAGTCTTTTGAAAACGATAATAATTGGGTGATAAGAAGATTAGAGTGGATTGAAACGGTTAATATTATTAAAAAAGCATTAGCAAAACATGAAAAGGATAAAATTACATTAACTCAACAAATCAAAACATTGGTTTTTGCATATGAAATAATTAAAAAACAATTTGAAAAAATTAACCATCAAAATTTAATTATACAAAATGAATTAATAGAGGCCCAAAAAAAAATTAATTTACTTAAGCAAGAAAAACTTCAAACCGATGAACAAAAAAAATGGGATATTATTACAACAGGTATTTATTTGACAAACAATTAATTAATTAATTTTTTAAATCTTTAATTTTAATTTATTTGTTATAGCAATTATTGTAGGGTTTGGAATTGTTAGTGTAGAAATAGTTTTAAAAAAATTATATAAATTATAAATATACAAATAAATTAAATAGATTTTGATTGTAAATATAATATATAAATGTTTGTAATTGTAAAATAGATTATATATATTATATATTATTAATTTTATACTATATATATAATAATAAACACTTTTACTAAAACGCACCTATGGTGTTTTACCACCTAGGCCTATTTCTCAAAAACGTACTAAGTAAACGGGATCGGGTACTCTAAGTAAAAATGTTCAGGACCCCGAAAACCTCACGAAAACTGAGATCGGGCCTTATATTAGCTTATATTATATTATATAAAAAAAAAAATTCTTAGTACCCTAACCCTAACTCTAAATTTTATTAAATACAATTATACATGGTGCTAAAACACTATAGATGCGTTTTATAATAAATGTGACAGATTAAAATGAAATCGGATTAAAATGAAATATTATATACAATGTAAAAAATAGACAAGTCACCGAAAAATAAAAATTTTTGAAGTGCATTTTTTAGGGTTAAGGGTTAGGGTTAGAGGTTAGTTTTAAGATAAGGTTTATAATAAACAAATATAGGTGGGTTTTAGGGGGTAAATAGAAACCCTCATTTTATTTTAATCCGATCATTATGATTTGCCACAATCAATATATATTATGGGGTAATTTCAATAGAAACAGCCCATTTTTACATATAAACAATTTTGAGTAAATCAGGTTTAAAAAAAACGTGATCAACAAAAATTTTGATCTAAAAATAGCATTTCACATTTCTAGAAATTCTAGAATAGTTAATCGATCACAAAAG